GGGGGGGGGGGGGGGGGAGTGAGAAAGAGAGAACCTGACGATATTCTCCAGATACCTATAGGACGTCTAGAGCAATCACGTCTAAAGCATACATAGAAGATAAGACATACAGACAACACTGCCTACTATATATATATATATATATATATATATATATATATATATATACACCCACGGAAGACTAGCAATACGTTCTACACAGTGATCTCGAGACATCAAATAGAATTTATACACAGTTCCTAATATACTACGTCATATATCAACCCGTTACCAAAGTCCCCGTACTCGTTAAGCCTCGGTATTATTATATGACTACGTTTATCGCTTTGCTCTGGTACTGTGTCTGGTTAGCCTAGGATCGTACCTACTGCGAAATGCATTCAACCACTGTTTGCACGCTCGGTTCCGCAGTCAAACCCGCCAATGATTTCCGATCGATTTTGCGGCTACGGATTCCGCCGATAACAGCATAAGAAACTGTTCAAACAGTTAGTGGGTTTGTTGAATTGACAATAGTGATGAAAGAGGGAGGGGGGGTTCGAGACGGCAAAGATAAAAAAAACAACAGGAAAAAAAAGAGATACCCGCATCTGGTTACTGCCGAGCGTATGGGCATCTATCCACGATCCATGAAGTGGTGATTGATCCTCGGGTACGGTTAGATGTCTATAGATATACTCGAATGTCCAATAGATATAGCAAAAGGAATGAGTAAACGTAACGAGCTACCGACGAGGCGTCAGTTCGTTCGTGAAATCAGCTTCCAGCACTGAAATTCAGCACTGCTTCGAGAAGCGTATCGAAACTATTCCACGAGTTTCGAACAATCCGAGAGCCTCCTCCGAAAGGCGACTCGATGATTTTCTGCACCGAGTACACGAATGCTCGGAAGCATAGAGGACCCGTGGAATATACGAGAGACGTCACTCTGTGGCCTCGCGTGCCTCAAAATCGTAGACTTGCTTCGTTCTTCGTGATTTCCGCGATACGTTTACGTATTGCGTATCCCTGGCATACCTTTCGGAAGGAGAGGGGGTTGGTTACAGTCGAAAAATAGTACGAGGATGGTATCGAGTCTACAAAATTGAAACGGTTTATTTGTCAATGGTAAAGAAGAAGCGGGTGGTGGGAGAGTATAGTGGGATAGGACGCGAGAAAAGGAGGAAATGAAACAAAGGAGAGTACAGAAGCTCCGTGAAGATTTTCATGAACGATTTTGTATTCGGAACGCTAAAGGTGGTATCTGATGATGATGAAGAGAGGAGGAGGATGAATTTCGACAAGATCATCCTACTCTGTCTCTGTCGTACTCGCGATCTGACTAGTCCCTTGCTAGGAGCTCCCGTTAAATTTCAGCAAGTTTCCGGGTGCAGGAAGTTAGACCCCCATAATTCGAAAATTCCGGTTCTTCGTTTTGTTCTGGCTTGTTCTTAGTTTTTTCTATGATGTTCCAGAAAAACAAGTTTCTCAACTTAAATTTGTAGCGATAAGGCGAAAAAAAACACTTTTTTACTGGTATCCCCGACTTATGGAAAATCAAACTTGTTTTGTTGTTCCAGATTGTTCTAGTTGTTCTAAATATTGTTCCAGAATATCAATACCGACAAGTAAAGAATTTTCGAACGGGATTAAAAAACGTTTTATGCGTAGCAAGTAGATATAGGACCAATTCGAACGATTTCCAGGTTATTCCAGCTTGTTCTAGGTTTTCCTAGGTCTCCGTAGGTTTTCCTAGGTTTCCGTAGGTTTTCGTAGGTTTCCATAGGTTTTTCTAGGTTTTTCTAGATTGTTCCACGTCCTACCACGAGCAGGTACAACAGTTACATAAAACCAGGGAAACACTGGAAAAGCTGAGAAGGACGAACGCTCTCAGAATAGCATGTGGATATAGAACCATTTGGAACGATTTCCAGGTTAATCCAGCTTGTTCGAGCTTTCCGTAGGTTTCTGTAGGTTTTCCTAGGTTTCCGCAGGTTTTCCTAGGTTTTCGTAGGTTTCCTTAGGTTTTTCTAGGTTTTTCTAGATTGTTCCACGTCCTACCACGAGCAGGTACAACAGTTACATAAAACCAGGGAAACACTGGAAAAGCTGAGAAGGACGAACGCTCTCAGAATAGCATGTGGATATAGAACCATTTGGAACGATTTCCAGGTTAATCCAGCTTGTCCTAGGTTTCCGTAGGTTTCCGTAGGTTTTCCTAGGTTTCCGTAGGTTTTCCTAGGTTTTCGTAGGTTTCCTTAGGTTTTTCTAGGTTTTTCTAGATTGTTCCACGTCCTACCACGAGCAGGTACAACAGTTACATAAAACCAGGGAAACACTGGAAAAGCTGAGAAGGACGAACGCTCTCAGAATAGCATGTGGATATAGAACCATTTGGAACGATTTCCAGGTTAATCCAGCTTGTCCTAGGTTTCCGTAGGTTTCCGTAGGTTTTCCTAGGTTTCCGTAGGTTTTCCTAGGTTTTCGTAGGTTTCCTTAGGTTTTTCTAGGTTTTTCTAGATTGTTCCACGTTGTTCCACGTCCTACCACGAGCAGGTAGGACAGTCACATAAAACCAGGGAAACACTGAAAAAGCTGAGAAGGACGAACGCTCTCAGAATAGCATGAGGATATAGAACCATTTGGAACGATTTCCAGGTTAATCCAGCTTGTCCTAGGTTTCCGTAGGTTTCCGTAGGTTTTCCTAGGTTTCCGTAGGTTTTCCTAGGTTGTCGTAGGTTTCCTTAGGTTTTCCTAGGTTTTCGTAGGTTTCCTTAGGTTTTTCTAGGTTTTTCTAGATTGTTCCACGTTGTTCCACGTCCTACCACGAGCAGGTAGGACAGTCACATAAAACCAGGGAAACACTGAAAAAGCTGAGAAGGACGAACGCTCTCAGAATAGCATGAGGATATAGAACCATTTGGAACGATTTCCAGGTTAATCCAGCTTGTCCTAGGTTTCCGTAGGTTTCCGTAGGTTTTCCTAGGTTTCCGTAGGTTTTCCTAGGTTTTCGTAGGTTTCCTTAGGTTTTCCTAGGTTTTCGTAGGTTTCCTTAGGTTTTTCTAGGTTTTTCTAGATTGTTCCACGTTGTTCCACGTCCTACGACGATCAGGTAGGACAGTCACATAAAACCAGGGAAACACTGAAAAAGCTGAGAAGGACGAACGCTCTCAGAATAGCATGTGGATATAGGACCATTTCGAACGATTTCCAGGTTATTCCAGGATGTTCCAGCTTGTTCTAGGTTGTTCTAGGTTGCTCCAAGTTGTTCTCGGTCTATCGATGATTGTTCTAGAATTGTATAACGATCGGGTAGCCGGAAGTCGGATAAAAGTAGAAAGAAACGATTTTATATGCATAAAACGTTTTTGTGAGCCCATTCGAGTATTCTTTACTTAGCGGAATTAATATTCTGGAACAATATTTAGAACAACTAGAACAACCTTGAACAACAAAAAAAGTATGATTTTCCATAAGTAGGGGGGTTCCGATAAAAAAGTGATTTTTTCGCCTCACCGCTACAAATTGTAATCGAGAAACTTGTTTTTCTGGAACATTGTAGAACAAACTTAGAGCAACTCAGAACAAACAACGGAACCGGAATTTTCGAATTATGGGTGGCTAACTTCCCAGATTTCAAGTTTCCCCATTGAAATTTCAGGAATGTTCTAGAAGAATGACATAGAGTCGAACGGGGAGCGAGAGAATCGGAAGGGGGGGGGGG